TCCGAAGGGAACTTTGGGTCTTTGTTCCCCTAGGCTGAGCTTTGCGATTTGCCTCCCTCTTTCTTTAGATCAGCCCTGAAGGAAGAGAGGCTCCTCTTGGTGCAGACCGGTTCCAGTTCGCCCTGCTTGGATCTCAGGTTTGACATCTTCCTGGTTGTTGTAAAATCATCAGGAAATTTAGAGCCAGCGCCTTTTTTTGTCCAAAGGGGGGGTGCAGAAGGAATGATCCATAAATTTTAAGTGTGTTTGGCAGATTTCCCCAGCTTGATTGGCTTCCAAAGGTAAATTCAGCCCCCAGAATTCATTGTGGTGGCCTTGCTGCCGAGAGAATTCTGGGATTTGAAGTTCTGCCCAACTGGCAGATGCTCGGGCCCTTTCCCCCTCTTCTAACAAGAGAAGCTGATGTTTGCCCTTCCCAAGAGAAATTATCAGGATAGATTTGATATCCGCTTGAAAAAGACAATATAAAACAATCCTTTGTTATCTTCTGTTTGTCGTAACTCCTCGGAGGAGCTGCAACCTGTTTGGTCTTCTGCCATAAATCCCTCTAACGTTTCTCCCGTACGTGCCGTGCCTCCAAGTCAGTCACTGGAGGGCAGGATTGGCTCTTCTTTGCCAGCTGTAAAGCTCGTTTAAAGTTAGCCACGTGGGAGAAGCGCATCCTTCTGGCACACAACAGAGGCCTTCTGCATTGTTTGGAGGCTACTGAACGGACGACCTTGGTATTAAAAGATGGCAAACGAGCCACGTAGCCCCAGCCCTGCTCCGTAAACATCCTTTTTCAAAGATTCTACAAAGTCATTCTAGATAGCTTGGCAACTCTGGCTCTTACTCAAAAAATGCTCCAAATTGCTGCTGTTTATTATAAAACCTTTTTTAAAAAAAAACTAACAAGGGAGGTGGTTGCGCTGATGATGCCCCTCAGCTGTATGGCTGCTAAGTTAACCTACTTTCTGGCTGTACGCAACCTATTAAGCTATTAAAGAAAAGGGCTCAAAATTAACCCAGGGCAGCACGTGGTGTCACGGCAGCAGTTAGTTCTTTTAAGGGATCTTTTAAGGGATCCCAGTCCATTAAACCATAAACATTTCAGCCAACGATGTTGGGTAGTCCCGCTGATGGATTATCACAGCCCCGTTCCTTTTTCCTCACCCTCTGCATGCCAGACATTTCAGCCATACGTCCTTTGCAAGGTTTCATTGCGCAGGAACTCCCTTTCAGCAGTAATCAAATCCTCCCCCTCTTGCTTCTCGCAGCCGTCTGGACAAGGGCCTAGCCAACTTGGTCCGAGAGCGGAAGACCGACCTGGTGATCATCGAAGGGATGGGCCGGGCTATCCACACGAACTACCACGCAAAACTCAAGTGTGAGAGCCTTAAACTGGCTGTGCTCAAAAACTCTTGGCTGGCGGATCGTCTGGGGGGAAAGATCTTCAGTGTGATTTTCAAGTATGAGGTTCCTCTCAAGTCGTCCTGATGAACCTGCAGAGGAACAGAAGGGGGTGAGCTTCAGCAGCGACGGCTGGAAAAGGACTTGCACTAGTTACAATTTTAATTGTAAAGAATGTATTTTTATTACCACAGGGAAAATGACTTCTCTCTCTCGCACACACCTCTGTATTTATATTGTGCTTTTGTGACTTAAAGAAAGCAGCTGTCACTCACTCCATGTGTGTGTGTGCGCGTCTGTGTATCTTAAATCTTAATGCAATATTTGTGATGGCAAAAGTTTGATTTTCTTCCTCTTTTTTTCCAGTTCTGTTTTTTGTGAGATGCTTGTATTGAAATGTCCTGAAAATCTTTTTATATATATATTTTAGCTTAAATCTAAACTGGCCAATTACATGCCAAAAAATCAAATAGAGATTTTGAAAAGCTGAAGGAATCTTGATTCGTCTATACTTTACGGGCTCACAAAATAAAGTGTCTTTTGCTGGAATCTGCAAAACTATTTAAAAAGAGAGAGGGTGGTTTGTGGAAGCATTTTTAGAAGGATTTTATTCCTACATCAAAAAGTGCCCTTAACTAAATATCTGCAGTACACAAACAAACCACCAGAGGGCAGATTTTCTGCTGTGAGCCTGCAGTATCCAAATATACTACCAGAGGACAGACTTTTATGTTTCTCTTGGAGGCTGCAGTTCCTAAATGGCCACCAGAGGGCAGTTTTTCAGTGTGTGTGTGTGAGCTGCAGTACCAACCATAGCCACGGGAGGGCACTTTCCCATATATCTTCTTTTTGAGGCTGCAGTTCCTAAATGGCCACCAGAGGGCAGTTTTTCAGTGTGTGTGTGTGTGTGTGTGAGCTGCAGTACCAACCATAGCCATGGGAGGGCACTTTCCCATATATCTTCTTTTTGAGGCTGCAGTTCCTAAATTCACCCCCAGAGGGTGTTTTTTTCTGATATATGTGTTGTGTCTGTATATGAAAGCTGCAATACCCAAATTTACCACCGGAAGGCAGACTTCACCACCAGAGGGTGGTTTTTCTGATATATATGTGTGTATGAAAGCTGCGGTACCAAATGGGGCCACTGGAGGGCAGGCTTTTCCATATATCTTCTTTTTGAGGCTGCAGTACCCACATTTACCACCAGAGGGCGTTTTTTTTCTGATATGTGTGTTGTGTGTGTATGAAAGACTTTTCGCCCATATATCTTATTTTTGAGGCTGCAGTACCCAACTTTACTACCAGAGGGCAGACTAATATGTATCCCTTGGATGCTGCAGTACCCAGATTCACCACCAGAGGGCGGATATGTTTCTGGCTATAGTTCCTAAATTCACCCACAGAGGGTACTTCTGGTGGTTTTTTTTGGGTGAACACTGCAGTACCAAAGGTGGCCACTGGAGGGAAGACATTTCTCATTATTTTCGAGGCTGCAGTTCCTAAATGCACCACTGGGGCAGTATTTTATATTTGTGTGTGTGTGTGTAGTACCAAACGTGTCCACCAGATGGCAGACCTTTCTTCCATCTTGTTTTTGAGGCTGCAGTACCAACATTTACCACTGGAGGGCAGACCTTTATATGTTTTCCTTGGCAGCTGCAATACCCACATCCACCACCAGAGATATCTGTGTGTATGAAAGCTGCAGTACCAAAATTGGCCACTGGACGGCAGGCTTTCCTTCCATATATCTTATTTTTGAGGCTGTGGTACCCACATTCACAACCAGAGGGCAGCTTTTTAAATATTTGTGTGTGTGTGTAGTACCAAAATTGGCCACCGTGTGATGGACTTTTCTCCCATATATCTTCTTTTTGAAGTTGCAGTTCCTTAGATCACCACCGGAGGGCAGTTTTTTATATTTGGGGTGTGTATGTGTGTGTGTAGTCTCAAGAGTGGCCACCAGATGGCAGACGTCTCTCCCATATCTTATTTTTGAGGTTGCGGTACACAAGGTTACCACGAGAGGGCAGACCTCTATCTTTTCTTTGGAGGCTGCAGTACCCAGATCCACCACCAGAGGGCACTTTTCTCCCATGTCTACATTTGTCTGTGTATATGAAAGCTGCAGTACCACACGTGGCCATCAGAGGGCAGACGTCTCCCATATATCTTATTTTTGAGGCTGTAGTACTCAAATTTACCACCAGAGGTCAGATGTTCCCTCCATTTAGCTTTACCTGGGTTTTTCCAATATATATGTATGTGTATGTGCTTGTTTACATATATATATGGAAGCTGCAGTTTCTAAAGTAACCACCAGAGGGCAGTGTTTTCAATATAGGTGTATATGTATATGAATGTCTCTATGTATTTGGAAGCTGCAATACCCAACTGAGCCACTGGAGGGCAGACATTTCTTGCATATACCTTTTCATTTGAGCCTGCAGTACCTAATGTAGCCACCAGAGGGCATTTTTCTTCCAATATACATTTACAGTGGTACCTCGGGATATGAACTTAATCCGTTCCGTGACTCTGGACGTATCCCGAGTTGGTTGTAACTCGAAATGCTCGTTAGTAGAGGCGTTCGTATCCCGAGGTACCACTGTATCTTTATCTTTGAGGTTGCATGGGAGGGCAGACATTTCTCCCATACACCATTCCCTTTGAGGCTGCAGTACCTAATTTAGCCAACAGGGGACAGACTGGCATACATGGCAGAAAAGTTGCAGTCCCTGGAGGCTCTGCTAGCGGGCAGCCATTGCCTTCTGCATTATTGTTAGTTGGCCTTTAAAGGGCGGCCTCTGGCAATAACGCCTCTCAAATCCCTTTGCAAACTGTAACGATCCACTTTCCTTACTTTGTCAAAGGTCTCGCCTTTGTCAGAGGCAGCTTTACAATTTCCTTGGTTTGGTTTTTCCTCTTTCTTTTGTGAGTCTCTAAAGTATTTTTGTCTGAAGCTGCCAAAAGTTTTTTAAAAAGTTCCAGGGTCCAGTTTCAGCAGCAGCTTTCCCTCTTTCCCTGCATTTCTACTCCAGGGAAATATACCTATTTACAATTCTGGTGCCGCCAACATCTGTACGTGCATTGGCAAGGAACTCACATGGGCAGACATATGCGTGCACATTACATATGTATTCCTGCTTCACTGCTGAAGTCACAGGGAAAGTGGCTTTAACCTGCGAGATGAGCCAAGGGTGCTGGTCTGTTCTGCGCTCAATCTCAGTTGAAAAAGAACAAGAGAGTAAACTCACTTCTCGGGGGGACATTTGGGGACACGTGGCTGGGAGGACACCCATCCCGGATTCACCCTTTTCTGGCATTTCCCCTGCCGTGACTTTGCGTGTGGGCGAGATGAACCGAAAGGCAGAAGAGTTGATTATCTGATCCACATCAACTGACTTACATCCATTAGCAGCTGTCTAACTGCACCATAATAAGCCAGGCTGTCGGTTACAGGCATCACAACAGGTGAGACTTCACAGTCCCAAACTCCCCTCGCCACCCCCCCCTGCAAGAAATGAAATGGAGAGGGTCTTTGAGAAACGGGCCGTTCCAGCCGATGAAGAGCTGGAGGCCTCGCTGCAGATAGAAACGCAGGCCGTTCGGTCGCAATGTTCTTTTATTTAGTCATTGTGTAACTCCTAGAAGCCCCACTGATCCTGTGCTGCGCTCGCAGTGTCAGCCGGCCACCTCTTCCTTTCCTGGTCCCACCTTGCAGGGAGGGCTTCCGTATAATTTATTTCCTATTGCCCTGGGGGACGGTGTTTTTCCTCCCCTCTCCCAGATACCCTGCTTGGGAAATCAAATGCGTACCTGTTCGCTGCTGGGACCTTTGGTGGGAATTCAACACGGGAGGGCATGGATCCGGCTGAAATCAACCAGGGGCCCTCGAGGCCTTTCGTGGATCGATGCTTTTTGAAGACAGGGGTCCTCTTCCTTTGCAATCGGGGGTACTTTTAAGTGCGTCATTTATTGTATTTATTTATTAAATTTATATGCCGCCCATCTCTCCCAGAGGGCATCATGTTGCCTTTCTAAGACGACACTTGCAAGATCCACCCAGGAGTCTCTGGATGAAGCATCGGATAATCCCGAACCCTTTCAGGTCCGCTGCTGTTAACAAAGGAAGGCTTTTAGGAGGTGGGCATCGTTTCCATTAATGAAAATTAAAAATCTAGGCCAAGGAGCAGCTGGTGATGGATCCCCTAACATGTTTGGCAAGTTCACGTGCTCTCTGACTCTGCCCGTGTTGAGGAATTTCAAAGAAGCAGCTGGAAAATCATCTCAGACCCACTGCCTAGCCTCTCAGCACCCCCATCTCAGACACACCGCCTAGCAATTTGTTTTTTGAGGCCCAACATGTCCCCAAGGCTGCTGAGGACTAGAAACTTGTCTTTGCTGATTGTGAAGCTCATTCTGACTCTCGGTGGTCCCCCTTCCTCTAAATTCGTGCCTACGTGGACCCTCTCTGCCTTCCGGGGGCACTCTTTACGTAGGACACGCTTTATGCCTTCGCTGAGCATCCGGGAAAGGCTCCCGCTGACAAAACCAGTCAGGCTAGAACGCTACTGGTGTGAATGCTAGAAAGGTTAAGACGCAGAAACCGGGGTTAGCTGACAATGCCGTCATCTGCAATCTTGCCCAGAGAGAGAAAGGGCTCTAGGATTTGCATGATTATAAAGAAGCTATGCTAGTGTTTGCCCAGATGTGCCCTACTTTTACCAAAACCCCGCTAAGTGGGCTTTTACAGAATGCATAGGAAGGAAAAAAGAGAAAAAAGGAAAGAGCCGAAAAAACAGTTCGTGAGGGTTTGGCCCCGGGTTTCTGCCCTGTTTCTTCACGCCTTTGATTTTTCTGCATTTTCTTGCTTCCTGTTTTCTCTTCTTTGGAACCGCTGGCTCAGCTCCTTGGTGAACACAGAGCAGCAAGATTTCTGAGGTCGAGAAAAGAGGGGGAAAGGGGGTGGGGGAAATGAGGATCAAAAGTTTTTTTTTTTAATGGCTTGCATAAAAACCATATAACATTCGGCAGCCTCTGAGAATGTCGGATGACCCAGAAGGGAACAGGTTGCAGGGCCCTCCCTTCTGCAGCCGGGTGGCAGAGCTCATCGAATGAAAAACCGATCGACTGCAAAATGAAGAACTCTGTCTAGGATTCTGCAAGGGTTCAAAAGTGATTATGGGGCTCCCTCCGGAGAAGTTCCATTTTCCAGGAACTCAGATTTTGCGCAACGATAGGGAGAAACGGTTAAAAAGATGCCCATATCCAATTTGAATTTGTGTTTCAGCTGGAAGATGGATGGGGATGGGGAAGAATGGTTCAGGAGTGCTGAGAATTTATAAACCCCTAAACAGGGCAACTTTGCCATTCTCCAAGTTGGGATTTCCAAGAAACTTAAACATTTCTTGGAAACACAGCTCGCGAGCCAACATTTCCGTGCATCAAAAAAGAGGCGTTTGGTGGGGACTGAAAATGTTGCTTTGCAAAGCGTTTGCAAAGCGGAGAAAGAAACAGGGAAGAGCAAACAGACTTGGTTAAGGCCCTGGAGAAGGTCTAGAGGAGAGACTCCAATTTTTGACCCGTTTTGAAAACCAGCAGTGTGGCAAAGAGGGAGAAGTGGGGATAATGTTGATCCCTCTGCCACGTTGGGGGATCCAATGAAGTGGAGTGGGAAGTGGTTAAAAATGACCCCGTATGGGAATACGTGAAAGACATTCTCGCTCTCAGCTATATTTGAAGAAGAGAAAATGGTGGCTTTGTGGCCAGATTTGCACTGTTATTGAAAAAACAGCTCTGGAAATGTGGATTGAAGCTGAGCTTTGCTCCTGCCCGTTTATGTTATTAAAATGCTTGGATCTGGATCTTCTCCACCGCATTTCCCCCCATGTCTTTGTGCTACCGTGGGAGAACCAGAAGGCAGTCGGAAAGCCAGCTCACCTTCTCCTGCTGAGCGGTGTGGCGGCTTTGTTTGGAGAGCTCGATCGTGGCGACCGCCATTCCTGATGCGAGACCGAGGGCCAGCAGGAGGAAGATCCCGCCCAGAGCTTGGGGCTTCAGAGGACTCCACTTGTCATGGTCTTCGTGAGAACAGCTGCTTTCCCACCACTTGCTGCGGAGATAGTCCAGGTCTCCAGACTCACCAAGTTTCAGGATAGCCACGGAGAGTTTGCTGGTCCAGGAGGATCCTAAGAGACGGAGAGCAGTTAATTTTTTCGGCTTAGCCAGTTCAGAACAGACCTTCTGGAGATGGTAGTGGGGCTGCAGTGAACGATGAATGCATTTCACACAGTGTGTCTATTGGAGTTAACAGCACTGGGCTTCAGTCAATCCCATTTTTGGGATTCACTTGGCATGCAGAGCTGAAACGGGCAGCGGTTTAGTTTATAGTACGCTGCAAAAACCAGTTATGTGGGGGTTTTCCGTGATGCAAAGCACTGTAGCCAGGTTTGAAGCATCTTCTAGCTGGGTCTACTCCAAATAAATAAGGCTGTTTCTTGTACTGATTCCATTTACAGCCCCCCCAAGTCACTCGAGGCAGTTAACACGTAACACAAATCTAATTCATGCAGAGCAATTTAAACATGTTAAGATGCACCATAAAACTGACAAAATGGCTTGAGTGGACTGGCGCCTTCAGCGTTTGTTTCACGTAAAGCCAACCTGGGTTAGTGGTAAAGGCAGACCATGATCAGGGATACCAGATTCAAGCCCATTCTTGGCCCTGGAAGCTGACTGGGTGACTGTGGGTGCAACCGTATCTCACGGGCTTGTGCGGAGAAATCCGGAAGGAAGGTTACATCCATTGCTTTGTGCTCCTGGAGGAAAGCAGGAAATCCAGGATGGGAAGGTCTACTAGTGAATCCCGCAGGGGGTTGGACTTGATGACCTCTGAAGTCTCTTCCAACTCCATGATTCTAACCAAAGGTATAAACGGTCTTCTCAAGCCTTTGGCTGAGTGAACTGGGAATGTCCAATCTTGAGAAGATTTGGACATTTTTTTGGGGGGGGGGGGAATGTCCAATCAT